ACCACTACCACTACCACTACTACTACCACCTACTACTACTACTACTAGTAGTAGTAGTAGTAGTACTACAACTACTACTACTCCTACTCCTACTGCTACTACTACTACTACTACGACTACTACGACGACGACGACGACTACTACTACTACCGATACCAGCGACGACGACAACGACGACGATCAATGCCACTCCCACATAATTGAAAATTTCGCGTGGCCCGACTTCAGACGCTGTAGCGTGGGAAGAGTTTTTTCCCTGGAGCAGAATCATGTTTTGCATCGCGTGATGCCCTTACCTGCGTGCCTCTGGCAGGTTTTGGGACAACTACTTGGATGCGCTGTCAGATCACATAGACACGAACCTTGATAGTTTTGTCACCATCAACATTCCGTTGTATCGATGCTTTTTGCCTGTGATTATACAGCGATTGTTTTTGTGTGTTTCAGTTTTCTTCTTTGTTTGAACATTGTTCAAGCTGGAATTTTGGTAGGATGTCTCCCTGCCCAGAAACATTGTTTGCAATGATGTGCAGCCAGGGGGTACGGTCGGAATCATGTGCTAAACTCAAGTAAGGGGATGTTTCAAGAAAAGCTGGCTTTGCTAGGTGTCAGAACAGTTCCAAAAACTAATGCTTCCGGTTATGAAAAACGTTGCAGTGATTGCGTGTGGCAACTCAGGCCAGCGCTGAATGTTCTCAGTATGTTTCGTGGAATGTTCCACGCTGTATGCTGGCTCCTTCTCCACCACTAGTTAGTGGTGGGATCTGCAGACTGTGAGCATTTGTTTGGTGCGCTGCTGCTTTGATCTTCGATCCTCGAACTTCGTTTGTCTTGGGTTTGCGCTTGGTCCCTACCAGTGTCCAAGTGACCTTGGTAGCGGAGCCTTTCCGTGCAGGGGAGGCGGACTTCATCACCACCACCGTCAGGCCCCGCGCTTCACCATCCACGGAAACTTCGCCCACGACGCTGACTTCGTCTTGCTGCGATTTTTTCCTTGTTAGGGACGCTTTGGCCAGAAGGTGCCAGCCTTGTACTCGACTGGGTAGTTTGACGCCGTGCTTCTCACGGTCTCCGACCCATGTCCTCAAAGTAGGCTGAATACTGGAGGGAGGCGTGCGAGATCCTCAGATCCTCTCTTGCAGCGCATTAGGGTCCTCGGCCTTATCTTGAGGTCTTCGCGAAGCTTCCGCGCAACGCCGGACAGGCTTCCAAGCAAGTTCAAGATGGCCTTGCCTTGTCGTTTCGACAAAACCATCTTCCTGTGACTGTATTGTAGATCATGATGCGCTTCCGCCAGGGGTGTCCCGTTAGGGTTTTGTCGAAGAGCGGGATGAAACGATCCCGGGGCGAGCGTCAAGCTCTGAAGCCATCTGGGGCAAGACGAAAAGGGTGGAGGCCAGATGAGACCTGGCAGAGAGGGCTTCGGAGTCGTCGTGCTGGATTTGAGTGCGCTGACAGAAGTTGAGCCACGTCTCACGGAAGCTGGAGCCAGCGCAGATTGAGTTCTTCACCTCTTTCTGGCACTTTGCCGGGAGCTTGGTCAAAAACACCTTGCCCTTGCGCTGCTTTTTCTTCCCTTTTCCCATGTCCTTGAAGGGCCTTTGCGAAGGCTGCGAGCTTGAGGACATCCTGCAAGAAATCCACGGCGCAACATGAGGTCATTGAAGCGCTTTTGCGAGCATCCACGTACGAAGCTTCGCTGTATACTCTTCTGGGTCGATCTCAATTTCCGCTAAATTGGCCTCTTCGCGGTATAGTAGGCGGCGTCGTTGTTGAAGGCCTCCCACGAAGAGTCATCATCATGCCATGTAGAAGGGGTCTTCTTCCTCATAGCGCTGTCCGGGGTCATCCCAATCAGGTTCCAAGTCTTCACCAGCAACATTGGCGCGTCTCTTGCCAGTGTGTGCGATTCCATCGCGGAAAACGCCCGGCTGTTGAAGGCGTGGCAGTTCTGTCAGGTGAGACCATCGTGTTGATGCTGGAAGACGCTGCAGGTCACGGAAGAGCCGACTGTGCCATGATCGAGCCTGGTGCATCCTCGGCTTCCGACTGGCTCAGACCCGCTACTTTGCTACGCGCGCCGCTTGAAGCAGTTGGGCTATGACAGGCTATGACATCTCCAAGCTACAGCTTCAACGTAGTCAGCGAACAAAGACCTCCTCTTTCGTGTTTGGTCTCGTCAAAAGCCTATCGTGAATTGGGGGCATCATGTCCACCCTACAGTAGCCTGTAGTCCATGTTTGGCCCTGCACGGTGTTGTGGCTGGGGTTCGCTCCCTCCGTGGTGAGTCTGCTCACTATTCCACTTACCTCGATGACCATTGTGTTACTGTGTTTAAAGCTGCGGCTGACCTCCACGCGCAATTGTCTGCTTTGTCCTCTCTATCGCCGTCGGACCTTTAGAAAGCGCGGATAAAACCTTCAAATCAATTGTCTCAGACCGTTGACCCTGCTCATCTTCAGTCTTGGCTTCGATTGTTGGGTGCTTGCGCTTGGCTGCGTCTGTCTTCTTGGATGCGTTGGCTTTCCTTTGGGCTTGTTCTTATCCCACCGTCATCACTTTGCGGTTTCCACCGCCAACTTTGCGTGGCTTGCTAGGAGCTCGACTATGTGTGCTTCTGTCTGTCTTTGGACCTCTTGTTGGAAAGGCTGTCGTAAGGTTCACGCTTCTAATCCTTGGGTGCGCGCCCTTGTGTTCGGCGGTAATTTGCGTTTGGGCATCTCGTTTAGTCGGGGCCATCATTCGGGGCTTCTGGTACACCTGCTTTGTGCTTCACTCTTGGCTTGTCCAGCGTGGTTGGTGTCATGGTCCGTCCGTGGATCTGGTTCCACGCGTTTGCAGGTGTTAAGCTGAATGTTATGCCTGTCGGCTCCTCCTTGGTTGAGGGTTCGGTTGGGCTTAGCTCAACACAATCTTCGTCAGGGCTGGAGGGGTTGGTGCTTTCAAAAGTGGTTTGATTCCGGTGACCGTGAACTTCGACATTAACCGGTCCTTAGAATTGAAGAACAATTTGGCTGAATCTGGGGGCTCCAGGGCGGCTGCTTGATCCGCAATCATGTGCGACCTCCATCCAAGATGTACCAACCGTTAGTTTGACATTCCAATTTCATTGGATTGGATTGGTTGGGTGATGTTAGAGTCACCGCCTTCCGTAAACGGGGGCCACAACTGGCTGACCGCTTCAAGACTAAGAATCTCTTCAAAAAGCGCCCCAAAGAGATCTTCTCAAACTCATTGCCTCCCACATGGATTGGCCACGTGATCTTAGGATCCGTCGACGCCGGACCAAACTTCCTTGGACCCTCACTACACCTCACCCGCGCAAGAAGAAGACCAAGGAGGAGAGAAGAGAGCCGGCAAGTCTGCAGAGGAACGTATGTCGTGGAACGTTGCATGAAACATACTGAAAACATTCAGTGGCCTGAGTTGCCACCTGCAAATCGCACCAAGAAATTAAAAAGGGATCAGCCATCGCCACTTCAACATTCTTCAAAGCTTACCGTGCCATGCAGGTAGTGTCTACAGTTCTTGACATCCTGCCGCAAGGTGGTTCTGCCCGCCGAGCGGGTTGGCAAAACGCACATGCAGGGGGCGTTGTGCGCCATGGCAAACGTGTCCAACTAGCGTTTCCCAAGTTCCGTGCTCAGTCGGGCAGTCTTCGCCAAAGTGACCCAAGAGCTCGCTCCCTGAAGTAGGTCAAGTCGTCCATAGGATCATCCACAGGGCGGCAAACCTCCGCCTCAGACTCCAGGGTGGCCACCGCTGAATTCTGCCGAGCCGCAAGAACCTTGAGCTGAGTGAAGTAGACCAGCATTGCCACCGCAGATGTCAGGGTCATAGAGCTGGGCCAGTTCTTTGGACGATCGTTGGCGTTCGTGTCCTCGGAGAAGAACTCTTCTTTGCCGTCTTCATCCTCCTGCGCGCTCTCAAGGGTGTTGACTTCGTGCGCTGCCGCTTCGATCTTCGACTCCGACCGTCAGACTTCGTTGGTCTTGGGTTTGCACTTGGTCCCTACCAGTGTCCGAGTGACAGCTGCTTTTTGCAATTGACACCAATGGCAAGATAGCTGAAGATCCAGGGTAACAGCGTTCTATTAAGGAGACTGGATTGAAATTGTTTTTGAATCTGCGAAGAACAGTCTCAAATTGCTTGGGGTCTTGGTGGAAAATGACCATCTCAGATTTCTTGGCAACACTTGTCAAGAGTGCTGGTTGCAGCAGAATTGCGGGCTTTGACGACCTCTCCAACACGGAATGGTGCAGAGGTGCGGCCTACTGACCTGAGAGACAAGCCGTTCAGACGACTTGCAGGTGTTAATTGACAAACAAACTGAAGGGCAGTCAAATCCACACTTCATTGCACAAAACAGTTGAAACATGTTGAAACCAAATTCATCTGGGAAATGGTTGGAACGCACTCCCACGCGCTAGTAGCCTGCCACAGATCGTAGATCATTGTTCATCATTCTACCAGTGTCGTGCGGTGCTCTTGCAGCCCCAAACAGACAAGGTTTTCAAAAGTCACATGTCTCTGTGCTGCCCAAGTTGGACTCGAGGAAATGTCCTGTTTCACGAATCATCTACTGATCAAGAGCTGCTTTTCCAGGCCATCCTGGACTCTACCGGCCTTTGGCGTGGCTGTGTCCCAAAACTTGCGGATGCAACACCACTGGGAATGCAGAACGAGACAATATTTGCTTTGGATACGATTACTGCCCGGTGCCGCTCGGTGAAAAACATTGCGCCAACTGGTCAAACAGGCGTTGGCTGTCAAGAGGTGCGCAGACACGCCTGTTGGCCGTTGAATGATTGACCTTTTTTCCAGATAAACCAGCCTTGCCAAGAGGGTGAGTCTCGCAAATGGTCATGGTGTACATCGGCTTTCAGACCTCATCACTTCACAGGAACTTGGCACGGACACGAGGGGGTAGTAACAACCCACCACTTCGCAGCGCATTGAGAACAGAGCATTGAGAAGAACACATCACTTGCGGAAAATGATGGAAAATGCCTAGTGCTCCAACTCTGGTTCAGAATCTACTACTATGTCCATCTATGTCCCAACCACGCCTAGTATGCACCCAGAAACACAAACTGTGAAGTGGTGCCATGGGTACAAACTCCACTTCACCGGCGCAAGACCTCATTACTTGATTGGCAGACATCTGCGGATGAGCAGATCCGCATTTCATAGCGTACCATTCGGAAGCATACAGAAGGGAGGATCTGCACACAGGCAAATGGGTGAACATTTGTCACCTTACTCATCTTTCATATAGCCTTGCCTTTCATGTGTTCCAGGGGGCATTGTTTCCGTCACTGTCGTTGTAATGTAATTTACTGTAATTATGGCCCATGGTTAATGACTCATTCTTGTTACTCTTTCCTGTGACTGTGCTTGTACGCAACTGCCTGAAAGGGTGTGGTGGTTGAAATCAGGTGCCTATCGGGTAGCAGGCTTGTAAACAACACATATGTATATTATGCGTGCTCAGGTCAGTGATCAATGAGCCCAACACCTATCAGGCTAGGGAGAATATCAAGTCCTATCTACGATTGCACCTTGGTTGCCTCAAACACGTTAAAGCTGTTGTAGCTTGTGAGAGCTGATGTCCTAGAATCACTCTTTCCAGCTCATCTATCGCCTTTTGAGATTTGAAGACATCCTTTCAGCATCGTTCTGCCACCGGGGGAAATCCCGGCAATCACTTCAGGTTGGGCAAGCAGAGCCTGTTCATTCATGCGCCACGTATCCAAGACGGTGGACACAAGCTTCCTTAATCGCCCTGATGCGGATCTTTTTTGGCAGGACAGGTTTGGCTGGTGAGATCCCTTTGAAGGATATACACATGCATTGATTTTGTTTGGGCGATTTCGGCAAAGCTTTGAACTAGCCGCAGGAACCAAGCTGCGTTGAACACATTGATTCATGCATCAGGTATGAGGGCAGATTGTGATGCTCAAAGTCCGGCATCACTTCGAGGAAAAGCAGCAATGTGGATACCCCAAGCATCGCACCAGTTCCCAACTTTGAAGTTGTGACTAATGTTGGAGCACGCGCCATAGATGGTGATGGTGTTTGTAAGATGTTTGTTTGTTATGTGGAACTCGACAGGTGCTCAAGAGCAGGGTTGCTCACAAAATGACGTTGCGGTCTGCGGGTCGCTGCATCCACGGTGTGTTGCACTTCCTGCCCATGTCCTGCTCTTCGCAAAGTTCACGAAGAGAGGTGCCTCAAGAAGCTCCCTCCAAGACCCTGGAATGCGAGGAAGAGAGTGAAGTGGAAGAATAGACATCACTCATCATCACTCCAACTCCAGGGTATGCGGCCACTCACATGGGTATGTCTGTGTGTGTGGATATGGGTGCATTTATAGATTAGAGGCCCATCTTATCTCACTGCAAGTCCATAATTAGATAATGATTATACCAACTGACGAACGTCTTGCTAGAAACCCAGCGCTCCTGAGTTGTTGGACATTGTCTGAAACAACTTTGTTGCTTTGTTTCTTCCGCAGGATGACTGTCTTGGCTTGGAGAGGGTCGAATTGCCCACCTTCCCCAAGACAGTGCAGTAAGGAAACTGTTGAAGACGGATCCTCAAACCGTTGCGGCGCTTGTATAGATTGAAGCGGAGCCAAGAGTCTGCGAAGGCTGTCCTCGAATCATTTGTCATCTTTTCCCAGTTGTGATTTCTCTCCGTATAGGGACAACACCTTCCAAGCTGTCAGCTTTTGAATCAGAGGGCGCATCGCCGACGAGAGGCCGGTTCGCTGATTTGGTGCCGTTGACTGAACATCAGTCAGCCGACATTTGCGCCGGTCACCCTTTCTCTTAGAGTAAAGATGCAGTCGTACAACGGCGGAGTCAGAGGTTAGGCTGAGCTGCACTCAAGCAATCCGTATGTTCCTAGTTTAGTTTGGAGGGTTTGTCGGAGTGCCAGTTGGGGGATCCTGGACTGACCTCATTGCAAGTCCTAGCTGTGATCTTCAGTGTAGTATTGGGCAACACGGTGAGGCATGGTCGAGCATTGTTGGAGACAGAGAAGGCTCAGTGGAAGTTGCTTTACAGTGCAGTGTGCGTCAAGTTTGGCAGTGTATCATTGTTCTGAGCAACAGTTGTTCCAGCAAGGGCTTCAACAACAATGACGACGACCACAACCACAACAACAACCACAGCAACAACAACACCAGCAGCAACAGTAACAGCAGCAGCAACAGCAACAACAACAGCAGCAACACCAACACCAACACCAACACCAACGCCAACGCCAACACCAACACCAACACCAACGCCAACACAACAGCAACGACAACAACAACAAAACACAAACATCAATGGTACAGATACAAGTGGGAAAAGTTGAAACTCAAGATGAGCCAGATCATTGACCAGGGCTGCGATCTTCAAATCGAGATGTTGGCGAGTTCGGTGCTCCAGCAGATGAGGGCACACTTAGCCATGGTCGAGGGCGACGCTCCTCGAGACAAAGAGCAGGTCACAGATGATCAATGACGCTTTTGTACCACAAGATCCAGAGCGGGCAGGCTCCCTTTCTTGACATGGGTGTTTGGGAGGACTCCAGGGCGAACGGATTGCCAGCGCTGGAGAGAGGACAGTGGACGTCCATCGAGCTTCCTTGAGCTGCGAATCTGGACTCATGGGAGGAGGCATGCAGGATTTTCAGGACGGCTGCACTTTTGACCCAGCTTGCAACAGCTGCCGCATTGGATCGTTATGCTTCGGAGTTCAGTGCACGGGTACTTCAACGCGCACCTTGCAGCCCCGGTGGGTTCAGATTTCGGACGGAGTTGCACGTCGCCAGCAGTGCCAGCAGGAAGCGTTTATTAGACTCGCCCAGCTTTGTCGGCTATGTATTTGAGAGAGAGAGAGAGGGAGAGGCGTTAAGAGTGTTCTACAGGAGGTTTCTCTTGAGCCTACTGGCCCAAGAGGCAAAGTCTACTGCTTTGCATCTACAAGCCCTACCTGCAAACAATGGCCAAACCGTAGGACGTCGATTTTGACGTGGTAGCTACATTAAACCACTGCGCGCCCACCGCCAACAGAGCAAGTAGCGACAGACTACAGAGCATGGCTACAGCATCAGCGCCCACTGCAACACCAAACGGTGCCGCAGCTACAGGAGCAACAGATACAGACATTGGGAGACAGATGCACCGCTACAACGTAGCACCACCGACGTACAATGGTGACGACACGCAGTGGGAAGAGTGGAGCCAAAGTTTCAAGGCTTACCTATGCCTACAACACCGCGACTACGCCAAACTCATACACGCAGAGGAAGACGCGACAGCGGTACTTACAGACATGGACTTAGAGCTTAGTGCCTCTACAGATGTACCGGATCAGCAACTACAGTAGTTTAAAGAAATCTTGTAGGTGAATGCAACGGGTTTGAGACCTACAGGAACCAGTACCAGAGGTTCTACACTGACACACCAGTTGGTACAAGGAGCATTGGCTACTTGACTTCACTCTTGAAACCCAAGTTTGATAAACAACGGTTTGAGGAAACCTTGCAATGGGAGTACGGTGTATATGCGCTACGAAAGAAACCACACTTCATCGCTACCAGGCTCAGTCCAGAGGCCATCCTGGGGGATGAAACTACTGGCGCCCTATACAGCAACTACTACGACTCTACCGCGCGCTACGGTGAGGTAAGGGACATCGTGGTGGAATACCACAGGGCTAACTCAAACCTACAGAAGACCAGAGCACTACAGCCCGCGTCAGCAAGCAGTAGCGCTACAAACAATGGGCCCTCAGCCCATGGATATTGGAAACTACAACAAAGAAAAGAACAAAGGAAAAGGTAAATCCAAGGGAAAGAGCAAAGGAAAGTGCTACAAAGGAAAAGGCTGCGGCAGCTACAAAGGCAAAGGAAAGGGCAACAAAGGAGACTACAAAGGAAAAGGAAAAGGCAAGCCTAATCCCTACACAGGAAAAGGCAAAGGATCTACAACCAAAGGGTCAGGAAATGTATTCTACAAATGTGGCAGGCCTGGACACTATGCTAGAGCCGCTGGAGATTGCCGTGTCCAGATACATAACATCAGCCAAGCAGATGACTACGGCCATGTTTAAGGAGATGATTGGTGGAATGGCTACTATGATGAACGATGGCAGAACTGAGATCCCTAACCACCTCGAGTCATCCTACAACAACTCACAGTTGGCACTACCCTCAACAACTGCCAACACAAGGACCGAGTCACAACAAGCAGTGATCACCGACCAAATTGGAACGGTGAAAACTGCAATCATGGGCATGTACCAGCAGGAAGACGACCTGCTATGGCCACATGCAAACCATGGAACACTACAAGCAGGACAAGCAATGCCAACACAAGCATCCACAACAGCTACAGAGTTTTTTCCAAGAGTGGAACGGACTACGTCATGGTGGGCTCAGGAGCAGCTACGCATGTCTGTCCAACGAAGCAGACTACGCGCTCCAGCTCCCCCTTGAGGAACGTGGTGCTAGCACCACAACTTTACGCAGCGACAGATGACCCTATCAAGGTCTACGGCGCAAGGAAGATTCACTACAAGTGTAATGGCCAACACTTGGTGATACCTTTCTACGTGTGCGACGTGAAGTATCGAATCTTGTCAGTGACCAGACTACTTGATAGAGGATATACACTCTGACTCTGACACCGGACAGTCCGTCACTACATCGACATCACTTCAATGCAGGGCTACTTCGATTCCACTTTTGTACCTGGAAGCTGAACAACAACCTTTGGAGTACTAGTGCATGAAGATCCATGTGATCAAGGAGAATGGAGACTACGCCGCGTTGATTGCTCCTACATCTCTCACCACAACAGGCTACAAGCCCATCGTGGGAGGAAACAAGATTTCTGGCAACTACGAGACAACTACGTTGTCAGACTGCGCAAGAGGAAGAGAAGAGCTAAATTCACACCTGAGTCTACGAACTGTCCAGCTCCTACCACAGAACTTGAACCATGGAGACAGACTACAGTTCGACGACCAGGACAATCAGAACAACCCTACAGGAGTTGGTGTCCTATTTGTGTACGAGCAAAAGGTCGACAGGATGCCTACAAAAGAAACGAAGAGCGACAACCTGTCATACAGGTAGACTTCAGCTACACCAAGACAGCGCCAGATGAAGAACCCCTACCAATACTCACGGCTCCAGACGTCACGACACAACCCCCCAATGGCAATCGCAATACCGAACAAGGCTACCGCGCACGAGTCCATGAGCAATTGTCTAAATGCCTTCATCCTGGAATGTGGACGCGCAGGAGGAATTCTACAAAGTGACAATGAAACAACACTACTGGCAGTACTACAACAAGCAGCAACAAAAGTAAGACACGTGATACTGATGCCACTCTACATCAAGGCCTTTACTGTCCCAAGAGGAAAAGTCTATATACTGCTTTGCATCTACCTACCCACGAACACTGGCCAAACCGTAGGACGTCGATTTTGAAGAGAGAGAGAGAGAGAACGGGAACGAGAACGAGAACGAGAACTAGAACGAGAACGCCGCTCAAGCCGCCCAGTGTCTTGTGGCTATGAAGAGAGAACGTGCGCAAAGCAGGGCGTGTATGGTCGGATGGCGTGACCTTAGCGGTGAAGGATGCAGTACGCTTCTGGCAGTGTGTTGCTTTTTGGGTTTGAGGGCAGTACCTGAACGACCAGTGTCGTGAGATGGACGCGGCTGTGAGATTGGTGAGGCGTGTCTGTCATCATTGAGGAGAGTTGGCAAAGATGCCACCTACAAAAGCGGGAATTGCGCCCTTCCGCTTTGCTCAAAGCATGGCTCGGCAAGGGTTTGAGCTCTACAAGATGCAGCTGTGTGGTTATGGGGAAGCGACGCAATCCTGAAGTACCTGACGTCTCTCTCAAACACTCGTTCAAGTTCCTTGCGAGCAGCGTGTTTACAGTCTACACAGGTGAAGTGGTGGAGCGGATGACCCTTTGCGGTTGGAGAACGAAAGTGCATTGAAGAAGGAGGTGGAAAAAACGATCCAGGAGGCTTTAGATGGCGAAAACTCAAGGATTCAAGGTGCCGCGTCAAGAAAGCAAGAACTGGACTTGAAGGACGCGTTCTGTGAAGGACTTCCACGGTCATGCATTATCATAAGGACGCTTATCATAATTTAACAAATTTCATCAACTTTAGATTTAATCTGTGAATACTTTTGAATTGAACGCCTGACGCGGGCTCCTCTTTGAGGATGTGTGAGGGCGTTGGATGCGTCAAACTGTTCGAGACATACTGTATGCAAAGTCCCTATCGCCTGAGGCAAAAAAGGAGAGGCCGTCACACCCGTCCGGAGCGTAAGAGTCAAAGAGGACTGTCCCTTACCTGTACGCTGGGCCATGTCCAACGCCGAGAAGGCGGGACCATACACACACGACTGCAAAAGAAGGGCTGTGGTGGATTGGGCCACTCTGAACGTGAACTGATGAGGCGAGTGCAAGCTGGGCCACTCCAGTTTGCAACTGCCTATAGGTATTTCTGATTTGGATGTTTAGTTCGGGTCAACCAAATGGCCATTTGGGAAAATCAAGCGCACATCTGACCCAGACGGAACACTGGACAAGACCGTGAATGAGTGTTTGGAACTGGGACGAGGTCGCTCCTGTGCAGCGTCCCTTTGCTGCAGCTGTGTTACTCGAAGCCGGAAATCGATTGTAGACACATAACATCATGAACAGGATCCAAATGTATCTTCGCACATTCTTCCCTTCTTGCTCACCCTGCAAGAGCTATTCTTTTTGGAGGGCTTTGGGGAATTATGACTTCCCCAACCATCACTGGACTCCTCATCGCCGTTTATCCCGGTCACGCCAACGGTCGGTCCGGAGTGTCCCACACACCATGGCGTCTTGGCCGTTGGTGAGGGCCGTGTTGGCCTGCGCGATCCTGGTGCCAGTGCTGGCCGAGGCACGTCAGTGGGTTTGGCTGGGTGGGACCTTCGGTTCTTCATCCTTGGAGTTGATTGTGCAAAAATGAAGTTCCGCTACAGTTACTGTAGCCAATGAATTTGCAGAAAACTTGCAGCTCTGCCATGCGACCAAGATTTTGTATTTCGTACGGCCTTTTTGGATTTTCTCCATTCTTCACGGAAAGGGAGACCCAATGGAGAAGGGGTCGGTCGTTTGCTTCTTGAAACTATAACTTTCGGGTGTTGATGTTGAAGACATCTTTGGTGTTTCCAAGGAGGAGGAGTCGAGCCCTGTGGCGATTGCCATCTCGGTGCCTTGAGAGTTTCAAACAGAAGACCCAATCTCCTGGCAATGCCCAACATGGGCCTAGGGCCTAGGGACTGCACGCAAGCCAGAGATGCAAGCAGTATACGGAAGTATACTAGGTGGATCTAAATGGTTTCAAGGAAGTTTTGCAATCAAAACAAAAATCAACTGAAGAACACAAGGATGACGGCATTCATGATGAGGACACTGTCACATGTGTCTGGGGCTCTTAGGTGATGCTCATGGGCTCAATTGGTTTTCAGATGCTCATGCGCCTTCGCTGGAGAAGTGGGTCCGGCCAATTCTGTGTAATAATGACTCATTCCCTTGGCGGTGTGGGTCGGTTTCTTTCGGTCCGAGGTTCTATCTTGTGAACTGGCCAGATCGAGACATCCAACGATACTCATGGCAGGTGGGAGAGGCAGAAAAAACGTCCGTCCTTGAAGACCATTTCAAACTTTTTAATGTTTTGCATCGAGTTATTGCATGGAATCAGTTAAGAAGTCTAACACAGTCTTGCGCCTTTTATATTATATAGTTTTATGTTATATACATAACATATTATTTTTTCATATTGTATATGTATGTATATTTGTTGATGTGGTAAGTGAAGAGTAGCTCCTTCCCCAACCAAGGTCTCTGGTCTCTGGTTTGAAGTAGTCCAACCGTCTGAGCAACCTTCGTTGTTCCCTCACTTGCTTCCCAGCTCCACTCAGGTCATCAGCCAGACGATATCCATTTTTTGTGCCGTCTTGCTTCCTATCATTGGATTTGGTACTCTTTTTAGTTTTCCTTTCTAAAGCTTGAAACCTCAAGGGAGTGGTCTTCCACGCAGCTCTGCACATATGGATGCAGTTGGAGAATTAGATCGGATCATAAGACGTGTCTACTTCTTTTCTCGGGGTTTTGGAGAGGCAAGACGGAACCCGCTGAGGCTTTTTCAGGGCTGCAATGGAATGGTCGAGGAGACATTTGGCTGATCACAGTCACAGGGCAGCGGAGGTGTGCTTTTGCGCCTGGCAGGGTCATGCTGAACACAAACCAGGCGAACACATACGAAAACAGTGTTCAGACTATGTGCATGTTGGAGAAGGCATGAGCTCAGAAAACCCATTCTTGCGTTTTGGGCAAATTTCGTAGCCTTCGATGTCGCCGAGCTTTTAGAGGACTGAGCTGATCTTTCCCGATCAGTTGGTCTTGTTTCATATACTGGTAGAATGCACTATGATCATGCTCCGACTTCCAACACTCCTCAGGACTAGTCACACATGGGGCTTTAGTTTGAACATAGGTGGGTGAAGATCTAGGAGCTCACCTCAAGAAGTTCGCAACACAAGAAAGTTGGACTCGCACCCCTCAGCCTGGTAGCCCATCCATTGTGTAAAGGGAGAACCAATACCAGCGCTTGGACACTCTGATCACAGGAGATATTTCAACTAGTTGGAACCTACTTTAGGTTTGGACTTTACATTTAGACTTTACATTTAGTACTGTGCACTGTGCGTAGCGCACCTGAATCTTCTGAATTCTCTGGATGCAGTGTAGATTGCAGTGTAGATTTGTGAGCTTATATGCCTTAAATGCACTCGTACTGTGAATCCCCAGCGACACTCAGGAAGCTCATCAAGGGCAGCTCTGAGCTGGTCGAGGCGCTTTGTTGGTCCGCCGGAGTTCAGATTGATAAGGAGTGGCCGAGTAGTGAAGAATACAGTTTCCAAAAGCAAGCACCTAAGGGACCTATGGCTCCAATCCAAACCATCCAAACCACCTTCCCTATATACTTTTCTCGTAAACGGGAAACGCCTTTTAGTCATGTGCGGTCAGTTCAAAGTCTCCAACCAGGGCCTTTCAGCCTTGTTCCGAGACTTCTCACGGACCTTGCCGCTTTGAGATTTTGTGGAAGGCAACATCAAGCTTTTGTACTCAGGGCCACATGTATTGCTATGACCCTGACCATTCAATTTACAATATATTTTGAATCCACATGAACAACGAAACATCTCCCTCCGATCATCGGCAGCACGATTTGCCGGAGGCCTCCAGTCGAAGAACACGCACGAAAGCAATTCAGATCTGAATCTTCCAACATGCTGGTGGAATCTTTGTGTGAACGTCACCTGCCTTACGCAGCCCTGAAGCACATGGAATTTTGGAATGCTTCAACTGTCAGCAACGCTTGCTTCGCCCCTCACAAGCGACCAGCACAAACCTCCCTGCAGCAAATTCGAGCCATACCGCGCTGATCTTCGCTCGGACCTTCGGATCTTCAGGTTTTGCTCAGACCTTTGCAGCTGTCTCACACATTTCGTGCAGGTGGGCATCGACATGGCGCAGATGATCTTCTGGCTGGTTTGCATGTCTCCTGGTTGCAACATGGATCTGTTCCCCATCTGTGAGCATGGAACAAATTCAATGACCTGCCCAACTCAGGCAGGTCGTTTTGGCCATCACAAGTGGTGCCCTCAATGAGAATCTCAGCTGAATGAGAAAGTCTCAATGCAAAAAGACTCACTGACCTGAAAAACTGAAACCAAAACGCTACTGCCACCGGCTTCGGCCACCGATGGACCATTGATGGGGGAAACGCAAGCGTTGTGGTGCGGCAATGTCTCAAGATGTCCAACAACCGTGCCACAAAGCCAGCCTGGTCTTCCACAGCAATAAAGTCAAATACATGATGTGTGACTTGAGGTCACACTCTTCTTTACGAGAAAACAGCTCTAGGATGATGCTCTTTCAACAAGATGGCAATCACCAGGTGGCTTGGCGCGGTCGACGACATGGAAAAGGTGGAGCTGAATGTGAAAAGCTGGCCTCGTGGCAGAAAGATTACACCAGCATGGTCTACCCCAAGACTCAGGGCAGAAAAGCGCCTGACATGGGCACAAGTCTTCGAAGAGCTCAGGGCTTTCATGAGTTTACGCGGTCATAAGGTTCACAAGCATTGGTTTCAGATCGGATCTACTTTTGCTGTTCCAAGGAGGTTTGGTTGGCATCATTTGGCATCTCTATCCATGATCCTCTTGAATTGAGACAGACAAGTTGATGTTTCGGGTGTGTTCCACGTCGTGACAGCCGGTCCGCGCCTCGAGGTCTGTGCTCTTCAGCCATGTGGCGGGCTTCGCTGCGATCAACGCCTGGGGATCCTTGCAACAAAAGTTTTTGAATGCCAATCCCTGGCAGGCGCTTTTAGCAACTTGATGAGGCAAAGACGGATTCAAGAGGGGTTTGAGATGCTGGGTCTTCGACCCTGGGGCACAAGACGGACAAGGCCCCACCCAGAAGGTGGGCGGAAAGAACTGAGACTGAGACAGACTTCCCGGTTGCGCCAAGGTAGTGCCTCTTGGTTCAGCTGGACTCTTTTTGCTCTATCACATTTTCGACCTGATCCGCGAGAAAATCGCGCATATGGATGACGGAGAGAAGGATTCCTCACACACAAGAGATACGCTGGAGTGTTTGTTTTCTACGCCATGACAAGAGCTTCAAGCTCGTGAAATCATTTTTGTTCATCCCAAGAGCAATCTCAAGCATGCTCAGGGGTCTTGAATTTGTCAAAGTTCTTCAGACTGTCATGTAAGCTCAACATGAACCTTCTGTCATGCATGCCATGTGGCTACTGAGTTCCAAAGCATCCTACATCGCCTTTTTGTTTGCTAGGTGGCACTATGCCACATCTCAGAGGTTTCAAACGCACATAGCACACATCATGTTGAACAGACACAGACACACACACACAGACACATACAGAGATGAGCTGCAGATGCTTTCCAGTTCACATAAATACTTGGATTGCCCAGGAAGGATCTACATGCATCCCTCTACCTCTGTCTATGTATGGTGGCAAGGTTAGTCACAAGCTATCCACTGGATAATATTGAATGTGGATTTCCCAAGTGTTTGGATCCATTTTATCTAGTCACTGGAGTCCAGCGCTTTGTCCAGGATGAATATGAAGAGAAGTGGGACGAAGAGACTGAAGAAGCAGAGAATGATGTTGCAGGCAGCGTTGAAGTCCGGGGTTTCACCGAAACCAGCGTGTCTCTACCTGACGCTTGAGACTCTTGTTGACAGATTGTGTCAAAGAACCCAAAGCCACAGAACCCGCCTTTTCGGTGAGATCTCGTGCACTCGGACGTGACTCACCACCAGGCCTTTGCATGTCCTTCTTGACGGTGCAGGCCATTCGCTTCGGTATCAGTGGCTTCATGCCGAACCAAGAAGGCTGCTTGGACATAGCGCAAAGGACGGAACTGAAGCCTTTTGGGTCGAACAGGTGCTTAGTGTGCAGTAATCAACTGTGTTGACCCCCTATGATTCTAAGTTACTGTGGCCCAAGTCTGAAGAACTACAGCCTGCCCCAAAAATGAGCATGCACAATGCAGATCTCTTTTTGGTAAAGAAAGACGATGCAGAAAGACAGCCATGGGCCATGGCTGACGTCCTCGGAGCCGTCGTTTTTCGGCGCCTTGAGGGATCGAACCCTGGGCAGTGGCCATCAGCCATAGCCCACACCAGTGCCATCTATTGATTGGCAGTGGCCTGATCTTCTTCATTCTGACTTTGGCAGTGCCTTGGACTACGGGTCTTATTATGTGTTCTGATGCTGGGCATTTGAAGCCCAAACTGGTTCTGTCTGCAGAGTCTGTAGTTGTACAACATGTCCGAGTTGTTCGCATGTCCTTCGACAAAATTGTGACAGCTGATCCACTTCACCGTGTTACTGTTGGACTTTGGATTTGCCCTTCTCACTCAACAAACAGATGGAAGGTCACCAGAGAAAAAGCCTCATGGATATCACCTCAACTGACGAACCAAAAGCCCTGGGTTCTCCCAGTCTTTTTGCTTTTGTTCTCACACGATCGCTGCCAGATGCTCAACCTCACGCGGATCTGGGAGGTCCCTGAACGCTTGGACAGGCCATGTCTTGTCAGCAACAAGACGAGCACAGTTCCCTACTGAGCCTGACAATTCATGTTGCTAATTGATTTCACTGCGACAATTACATATGATCCAAAGGAAGTTTGAGACAGATTTGAGTGTAAAGTTCCTAAGAGCTGCGAAGGCTCAAGCAGTTTGAATGAGTGCCCAAGAGGCAAGGCAATGATCAATGTAAGCCGCAAGCCCTGGAGTCACACCCGCTCTCACCTGAGTATTCAGCTTGCAGTGCGGCATGCCAGGCTCATTGACATTTTGAACAACTACTTGACTTTCGGTTTGTCCTGGTGTTTGTTCTATGGCGTTCGCTGGCGGATTTGTGCTACACACTTCACTCATGAGATGCTTGGTCGATTTGATCTTTTGGGCAAGCGCTTGTGGACGTGATACACGCAACCGCGAAACCACAAACAATGGGGGGAAAAGTCTGCCATAGGACAACCATTACTACTAGTAACAAAGGCATCGCTACTAGCAACATCTAGCAACAAGTGCATCGCTACTAGTAGCTTCTACTAGTAGCGATGCCCTTGTTATCCCATGTTACTAGTAGCGTCTTGTCCGGATTATTTTCTGGTTTATATCTCGACCAGAATCTGTGATTTAGTGGGCTGTGATTCACCGAGTTTGCCGCGGCAGGTCTGGTTGATGGGCCAGTGATGTGTTGACCCCCCCATTCGGAAAACCGTCTCAACACTTGGAGTATGTAAGCTTCCCCAGCATCTAGCAACCAAATGAATAGAGCGAGGGCTTCGTCAAGGAAGCTCTTCCACGGCCTCAGGCGGGAGCTTCCTTGAGGAAGCCTGAGCTTTTCTGCGTCCACTTCGTAACGCAACTTACTAGTAGCTATTGTACCTACTTACTCCTCCCTACCCGCCCGGCCGAAAAAAGCATCGGCCCATGAGCCAAGGAATGCTTTGTTGATGGTGGCCATCGCTCTCTTTCTGTCCGGCGTGTCGTTCTTGTTCATCTTTGTCCTTGACAAGGCGTTGGCACTGCGCGGGTTTGGCCGCGTGGCGCTTGCACTGCTTCGGGTTGGGCAGAAACTGGTGACATCAATGTGTAGTGCAGGGTAATTGTGTTTTTTCCCAAAAGCATCTCCGATGCTTGGGTTCTCGTTTAGTCGCTAGTGTTGGGGGAGAGCGAGGAAAAGCTTACGTTGTCGGGGACGGAAGATGGAGGTGGAGGTGGACGGGGTTGGGAAGGGAAGAGGGAAGGGAAGGAAGAGGGAGGGGAAGGAAGGGAGGGGAAGGAAGGGAGGGGAGCGAGACGGGAGGCGCACGGGTGGGGACGGGGTTGGGGAGGGAAGATGGAGGGGAGCGAGACGGGAGGGAGGGAAGATGGAGGGGAGCGAGACGGGAGGCGCACGGGCGGGGACGGGGTTGGGGAGGGAATAGATGGAGGGGAGCGAGACGGGAG